TCTCCGCACCAATCAGAATCAGAATAACTCAGAAGTTTTGATTCGATCTTTCTTCCAGACGGAAATAACACTCCATATTTCAGAGTTCCCTTCACATACCTCAGAATCCTCACTGTAGCTTGGTAATGAGACCACTTTAGTTTACTTAAAAGGCAGCCGACCATTCCAACTGCATAGAAAATATCATGACTGGTATTACACAAATACCCCATAGAACCAACCATTTGTTTGATGGTTGTAGCATCCACATCCTCTCCATCAGAATCAGAGTCCAACTTCTGATTTGTATCAGCAGGTGTGATAGCAACTTTGCAATTTTCTAGCTCAAATCTATTCAGAAGTTCTAGTTTATACTTCATCTAATGAAAAATGATTCCTTTCTCAGAGTACATAAATTTCATCCCTAGAAAGAAACTCATTTTTCCAAGATCTGTCATCTCAAATGCATTCATCAGAACTTTCTTGAACTCAGCTATCTCTTGTTCATAACTTCCTGTGAGTAATATGTCATTAACATACAAACAAACCAGAATCATATTACCTTCTGAAGTGTGCTGAACATAAACACCATACTCCATCTCACACTTCTGAAACCCTTGTTCCTTGAAAAATGAATCAATATTCAAATTCCAAGCTCTGGCCGCTTGCTTCAATCCATACAATGCTTTGTGTAATTTGAACACGATCCCTTTCTTATTTTTTTTCTCAAATTCAGGAGGTTGTGAAACGTACACCTCTTTTTGTAATGGACCATTCAGAAATGCAGATTTTACATCTAAATGCATCAGAGGCCAATTCCTGTCAGCAGCTATTGCAATCACTAGTCTGATTGTTTCATGTCTTGCTACAGGTGCAAACACTTCAAAGTAATCTAGCCCAGGCTTCTGTAGAAAGCCTCTTGCTACTAATCTTGCTTTGTGTTTTCCAATTGATCCATCTGGCTTTAGCTTCTGCTTGAAAACCCATCTAACACTGGTGGATTTCTTGCCTTTTGGAAGTTCAGTTAGCTTCCAAGTCTTGTTTCTCTCTATAGCATCAAGTTCTTCTTTCATGGCATGTAACCAAACTTGCTGCTTAAGAGCATCTTCCGTACTCACGGGTTCAGAGTCTACTAACATTGCACACTAAATAACTTCTCCTTCAGAGTCTACTTCAGTGTCTTGAAACATGTCAAACTCTGCAAATCTTCTTGGGATGCTTCTGACTCTTTCTTGCCTCTGAACTGAACCTTCAGAACATTGGACACCAGAACTTTCCCCTTCAGAAGCACTTGCTTCAAAAATTGGACTTTCTCCAGAACTTTGACTATCTTTAGAGTCTAGATCACCATCGGAGTCAGATTCAGAATCATCTTCTCCTTTTGTATCTTATTCAGAGTCAGAGTCTTTACTAGCTTTAGAAACATACGTTTCATACTTTTCTTCAGAAGTTCTCTCATCAGAGTCAGGACGAGACTTTTCCCAATTCCAAACTTCTGATTCCTCTACAATGACGTCTCTGCTGAACTCAGCTTTGTTAGCTTCTGGACAATAAAGTTTGTACAAACTTGTACTGTGGTACCCCACCAGCAACATCACTTTACTTCTATCATTCAACTTCTGTCTTCTGGCTTCTGGGACATGTTTGTAACATACATAACCAAACACCTTCAGATGACTAACACTTTGCTTATCTCCAGTCCACTTCTGAATAGGAACTATTTCCTTCAATTTCTTTGTTGGACATCTGTTGAGAACATAACATGCAGTGACAACAACTTCTCCCCACAGAGTATGAGGAAGCTTCTTCTCTTTCAACATGCTTCTCACCAATATCAAGCAAAGTAAGATTGCTTCATTCAACAAGACCATTGTGTTAGGGAGTATAGGGAGAAATAACCTCATGCTCAATTCCATTCTCCTCACAAAATGTTCTGAATTCTGTGGAGTTATACTCACCACCACCATCAGTTCTAAGAATCTTCAGAGTCTGGCCACTCTGATTCTCAACCTTTAGTCTGAACTTCTTGAATTCAGCAAACACCTTGTGTTTGAACTTTATGAGAGATGCCCATGTCATTCTGGTGAACTCATCAATAAATGACACAAAATATTTATTCCCTCCAGTTGATGCTACTGGAAAAGGACCGCACACATCAGAATGCACTACTTCCAAGGCATTTTTTGCTCTTGGAACTACTTCTGATGCAAATGGTAATCTCGGTTGCTTCCCTTCCATGCACACCTTGCATGACTTTTCAGGCTTCTTGATTGTAGGAATTCCATGTACCAGATTCTTTGATTTCAGATGTCCTAAATTTCTGAAATTCAGATGACCAAATCTTCTGTGCCACGACTCACTCTCCTTGACAACACTTATTGCACTAAGACATTCAGAGTATGCAGTTTTAATATTCACCTTGAATGTTCTGTTCCTTCCATGTTCTGACTCCATGATCAGCTTCTGATTACAGTCATACAACTTCAGAAGATTGTCTTTCATGGTAACTGAAAAACCTTTCACAACCAGTTGTCCCACACTCATCCGATTTCTTTTCATGCCAGGTACATACCATACATTCTGAATTACTACTGCTTTCCCATTGTTTAGAATGATTCTGACATTTCTCATACCTTCTGCATTAAGGTATTTATCACCAGCACATCTGATCTTTGTACTCTTCCCAGAGTTAAAATCAACCAACCACTTCTTGTTTCTAGTAAGATAGTTTGAACACCCTTTGTCCATATACCACCATTTTGATGAATTCAGATCATCAGGTTCAGAAGCCAACAATAGCACAGGTTCATCATCATACTCTCCTCTTGCTATATTTGCTTCTTCTGACTTATTTTCTTTGTTGGACCAGCAATCTCTGGCATAGTGACCAAAGTTCTTGCAACAGTAACACTGAACATTCTTCTTGTCAGACTTCTCCTTTCCCTTCTGAACATTCTTCTTCTGATACTTCTTACCAGAAGTTGCTTTTAGAGCCTGCTGATGTACTTCCCTCTTAGAAGTTCTTGTAGTCATACGCAACTCATGCGCCTCTAGAAAACTTTGCAGCTCTTCAACTCTCATGGTGCTTAGATCTTTGGAATGTTCAATTGCTACCACAATGTAACCAAACTGAGAAGTTAAAGATCTTAAGATCTTCTCAATAATTACTTGTTTAGACAGAGTTCTCCACAAGCTTTTATCTCATTAGTGATTAGAATCACTCTAGAGATATATTCAGAAACCTTCTCGTTGTCCTTCATGTTGAGATTCTCATATTGCTTTCTGAGAGACTGAAGCTTCACCTTCTTCACTGATACGTCACCACCGTAACATTTGACCAGTGTGTCCCACGCAGCCTTCGTTGTTTCAGAGTCAACAATCTTCTCAAACACATTCGCATCCACACATTGATGGATGTAGAACAACGCCTTCTGGTCTTTCTTCCTCAGCGCCTTCTGTGCTACCTTATGTGCCTCTGTAGTGTCTGCTTCTAACAGATTATAGCCATCGGTGACAAGATCTAACACATCTTGAGAACCAAATAACATGCGCATCTGGATCTTCCAACGATTCCAGTTTTTTCCATCAAATATTGGAAGCTTGGAATGGATATCTCCGCTGTTTCCGTTCATCTTCTACCTTGTGCAATTTACGCAAAAACTCAATGAAAATAATGTTTCCCAAATTCCAGAGTTTCTAACCAGGAGCTCTAGTTACCAATTATTGGAGCACAAGGAAGAGATAAAAGGCAAAAGAAATATATTTACTGACAGCTTCAAAATAAGAATTTATTATGAATTACAATAACCTACTTCACTAGGCTATTTATACACAAAATTAAATCTAAAATATATCTTCTAACAAAGATATAAGAGGATCTAAAATATATATCTTCTAACAAAGATATAAACAATCTAAATATAAATTAATATCTAACTAATTATAAAATCTAAATTAATTCTAACAGATATTAGTGATTTGCCGCCAGAGCCAGAGGTTGAATTTACTATTAACGTAGTATCTGGTACTAGTCTTTTTTTGTAGAAAATCTACTTCAGAGTTGAGTGAGCTGAAGAAATATTTAAAAGAATTATTTAAAAAAAGGTTTGTTCGATTAAGTGTCTCTCATTGAAGTGCGCCAATATTAAAAGGGAATCAAAAGGGAAGAAAATAACAGTTGCCTTTCAATCTTTTGAGAAAGTAAAGGGATGATAAGGAATAAAATGAAAGAGGAACAATTGTAGATATTTCTTGATGTCGCTATGCATGTACATTGGGTACCAAAATTTATGCATCGGTAATATATTAACCGATTAAAAATATTAATTCATGTCATTTGAGTTTTGCTATGTCATGTTTGAATAAAAAATTGCAATGTTTATGAAATATTCTGACATGTAAAATGATTAGTTATATGAAATGACCAACATAAAATGTTGTTATATTAGTTTTAATTTGGTTTAGTAAATAATTATGGTGGTGATGATTTTTTTTATATTGATTGATTGTATATAGGAAAATTCTTAGGTAGATACAATCATAAGAAATAATTTTATATACAATCAATCATAAATTTTAATTAATTAAAATAAATATAATATTTTCTCTCTCTTTCATAATCACAATCACTTCATAAATCCAATTAAAAGAGAAATTAAAATATAAATAAATCTAAAATTTTCTTTATTCTTATTGATTGTTTCTAAAAAATATTGATATACGGTTGTTTATATGTAAAAACTCCTCTAATAGCCCGTGTGTAAAAGATTGGTGAATTGAGTAACGTTACAAGGTGAAGAGAGAAAAACATACATAAATTTGATTGTTTATTATTGCATTACAAATAATTATACAACAAAAGTAGTATTCCACTTACAACAAAATGATAAAAAGGAAAATAAGAAAGCAAAGCAATACACACACATACAACATTATAAAAGCACACAATTCACAAACACGCATACAATATTATAAAAGCAGAGAATTCACATGCGTTATTTAGAACATTCAACATAGGATAATCAGAGGTCTAGTAGAAATTTATCTAGCGAGAAGTCGATAGAGTCATCGGAATTCCAAAAGAAAATATCACAACATAAATTGTGTTTGATGAGGTATTTGATGCCCTCATAAAGTATAGGGTCAACAGGATTGGCAATTCCTACTATGACTGAAGCTGGAGTGTAATCAATTTCCAGTTTTTTATAGAGATCTACAACTTGTTCAACTGAAGAGAATTTCTGATTGTAGAACTGATAATCAACCAATTCAACAACATATGCGTTGTCCTTATACAATTTTAAGTAGTATGGTTCCACCAGTTTTGTTGGAGCAATCGACACATCATCGAGATAGTAGTATTTTTTTATAACTTGTCCAATACAAAAGCAGAAATCATCTTCACTTGAGTTGATGACATCATAATGAATATCAATACCGTCAATTGTGTTTATGTGACTACCAAGGTCATCTACACTTATGTTGATGACATCATAGAGAAGTAAGATTTTTGTGATGGTTTGCAGGGCGTTGTGTATCCATTGATTTTTTTCTGCAGGATCGAATGGAAATTCAGAGCCAACACCTCCAATGCTGATAAACACCCTCACTTCTGGATGATCTTTTTTCAGCTTTTTCACCCATTTAATACTTTCACTAACATTCCAAGTGGGGTGGAAACCTCCGTCCCCTTTTCCATGTTTATCATAGTTCTCGACCGCGAAGCTCAGAATGAAGTCGATTTTTTTGAACTTCTTGAGGAGGTCCAAATCGATTCCATCTGTTGGTATATCATGTATGTATTGACGATAACTGCCTAGCTCATCTGAAGACATTTTGTTAATTTAACTCTGGATGTTTTATATCATCACTTCTTCATATCCTTTTATACTAATCCAACCTGTTCCTTCACACAATGGTTGTTAGGGAGAAAAACAATTCTTCAACAAAATTAAGTTATTACATTATTCTTGTGCAATTACTTATGTCATTGGAATGACAAAATTAATTTTAATAACTCACCATGTTATTTCCCTTCATGTTAATTTCCATGAGTATAAAGTGAAAGGGAAGATCATCTTTATGGATGCTTCTCAAACATTGGAAACCACAAAGGAGGAAATTGTCTTGAAACTCAAACAGATATTCATGTGCAATTACTTAGTAAAGAGAATGAAAAATAACAAAGAAACATCTTAGAGTTTAAATATTATATTATATTCTTGCTGCATTAACTTTATCGGTAGAAATATCACCGTGTAAAATAGTTTTAATTTCAGTACAACCTAAACATGAGCGAGTATCAATACAAATATCACAAATATAAGTGCAATCAAAATCAAAGAAAGAAGAAAATTTACCAAAAAAAAATCAGGTGCAGCAAATTTCCTTAGATATTTTTGAACTTTAGCCATATTAAGATATAGTGTGTAACAAACAAACACAAAAATTCGGATAGCTCCAATAAAATAAATTATGAAAATAAATATAATACAATACAAATAAATATTTAATAAAACGATAAAAATTTAATAAAATGTAATGAAATCTATAATATTTGATAAAATCTATTGAAAGAATTAAAATAAAATCTATAAATTATGAAAATATGACTAAATTACTACAACATTTGTTGTCTCTGGCAACACTTTTTTAGGTAACATGTAGAAATTGTTGCCTTAAATTCATATAGGCAACGATTTACGATTGTTGTCAAAAATATGTTTGCAATCCTTGATAATCGTCGCCTAAAATACTTTTGGGGACGTTTATGGAGCGATACTCTTTTATTTTTTTGCCAACGATTGTTAATTGTGCCTTTAACTGCTTTTGGGGACGATTTTAGAGCGTTAAAATATTATTTCTTTAGCAATATTTGACAATTGTCCCCTAAAATATTTTTGGGGACATTTTTAGATTGTTACATTAATTCTAATAAAAGGCTACATTTCTGAAATGTTGTATAAATTTTTTTAGAATTATCAAATTTTTGGTGGCAATCTTCCCTCCAAAACTTATACACTAAAAAACAAATATTTTTCTCTAAACATTATTAATATATATAAAAAAAATATTTTTCTAACACAGGAATTTAAAAATAAAAAATTTCAATTAAACAGAAAATAAAAAATTATATATATATATATATATATATATATATATATATATATATATATATATATATATATATATATATATATATATATATATATATATATATATATATATATATATATATATATATATATATATATATATATATATATATATATATATATATATATATTAAAAAAAAATTCATTAAACAGAAAATAAAAAATTTTCTAACACAGGAATTTAAAATATTTTTCATTACTAGTCCTCTCAATTATTGCCACGTCTTATTAAAAAGAATAGAAAATAAAAAAAAGAAAAAGAAACAGATAAGAAATATTAAAAAGAATAGAAAAAAAAAAAAAAAACAGATAAGGAAAACAAAAAATAATAGAAAATAAAAAAAAGAAAAAGAAACAGATAAGGAATATTAAAAAGAATAGAAAATAAAAAAAAGAAAAAGAAACAGATAAGGAAAACAAAAGCAGCAGCGCTCTCCAACTTCTTTTTCGTTCACACATTTCGCCGAACCTAGCCGCGCTCTCAGACGCTCCGTCCTTCATCCGCTCCGAGTCAAACCTCTTTCGTTCACACCCTCCGCCGTGTTCTTCGTCACTCCGTCCAACTGCCACACCGTGTTCGTCGTCCACGTCGTCGTCCGTTCGTCGTTCGCCGTCCAACTGCTTTCGTCCACGTCGTCCGCCGTCCACGTCGTCCTCCGTCCACGTCGTCCAAGTCGTCCGCTGTGTTTGTATGTATTTCTGCATTTATATTTCGATCTCCATTTCGTATGTTTTGATGCCATATGTATAAGATTCAAAAACACCAATAGTTTTCTCAATATCATACTCAAATTCTTTCTCTGTTCAACATGATACACATAACAAATAGAGATACAATTGAAATGTAACCACTTAGTGGCATGCTATGACCAATGCAATTTTATTCATACTGTAACGTATTAGTTACATTTTGTTATTCTTTATTATATTTATATTGTGATAGAACAATTTAATGGATGTAGATTTTGTTAGAAATTTAGGGTGTGATAATCCTGGATAACTTCGATGAATCGTGTTCGTACACTTTTCGAACAAAGTATTTCGACCCTATTCTTGTCTGGGTTCACGAAATCTTTGTGGGGATAATTCTCGAAGAAATTCTGTTTCCGACAAAAGAAAACGAATTGTAATTATAGAGAGAAGGATGCGTTTTTCCTGTTTTAGAGACCGAGGCCGAACGACTCCTTATATAGGAGAACAGTAATTGAAAACGAAGAGATACATTTGTTCGAAACGAATATGTCAGTTGGGAAACAGTTATGTCCGTTGGGGAACAGTTATGTCCGTTGGGGAAAGGATTCAAATTTTTTTGCAGCGGGACCCCAGCCAGGGGCTTCCGCCCCTTGGACCCCGCGGGGCACTGCCCCGCACCCCGCCAGGGCTTCGCCCCTTGGAACCCCAACGGGGCGCTGCCCCGCACCCCGCCAGGGGCTTCGCCCCTTGGAACCCCGTTTCAATTATTCGTATTCAATTATGCATTGGCTCGACGAGCGTGCACTCCGCACTTCCCTAACTCGTCTCCGAACTTAACGCATAATTGCATCGGCCTTTAGAGATCACATTACTACTAAAATACATTGGTGATACAAAATCGCCAACAGATTTGGTAGCTGTAAGTATTTTCTTTTGAGCAATGGATCTAAACTTGGCTGTAAATCTTTGGTTTTTAGCTTTTACAATTATTGTACAGATTTATTTTATTGAACTCAGACAATTATAGGTGTGTCCTTCCCAAGGGCTGACTAGTGGGCAGCTAGTGATGGCCTCTGGCAATGTCAGTCCATGATAGACACTGGAACTCACTACACAAAAATGAAATATACTTATCATATTATATGAAAGAGATGCTAAAATTTGCATTAAGCATGTGTATTTAAATAAATTATGTTCGACATAAAAAATGAAAAGATACTTCATAATATCGAATTATGCTTGGACAATATGTTTAAAGAAGTGAAGATATCATCCTGTAAGTGGTTCAGTATCAAAAGTAAAGGCACATGCTATATATCATCTCTGGTGTTCGAACTCTGGGGCATGCCTTGGTTTGCATGGTGGTTAACACGATAAAATCGAGGATATAATCAGTAGTGATAATGAGAACAAGTTATGAAGCAGAATGCAGTTGTGATGTACCTGTTGGTAGTCTAAACCATTCGTTCTGAGTATTGTTTCGTGCTGGATTTTTTGTTCTGCTACAGAGGTGCATAGATACGTAGGGATTATTCATTGTCTTGCTTGCTATTGCGATCAGATTTCAAGGTTGATACCTGGAGGTGTCATCGATGCTGCTGTTTCTTGGTATTAGGTAGAGAAAACTTTGTAGATCCTGATTAGATTTCGGCAGCATTTGAGGTTCTTTAGAGCGCGTGTTGTAAATTGGTGTTGCACTTTCTAGGTGTAGTTAATGCTGAGTTAGTATTGCAAATATTTGTAGTGGAGTTGATCTAATCAACTATCAATCCAAAACAATTGTCTTGAGTTAATTGAAGGTGTGAGAAACACAAGAAATTGAGAGTTTCTATTTGATTATATTTGAGGAAGATATTCTGAGTATTTTATAGATCAATGATAATTTTTCTTAGCTGGTGAAGTATTTAGTTGCACGACATGTAGCTTGAGAGGTGATGAGTTATGTGCTGGCTTCTAAATTTTGGTAGTATTGTTTTAGATCAAAATACAAAAGTATTGCAGAAGTAGGTCGGGATGAATGCGCATCAGGCATGGACAAGTTTGGTGAAATAGTCTTAGAGTAGTTTTAATGCATGAACAAGTTGTTCAAACACATTTTATGAAAGTACCAGTGTTATAGTTTCAAAAAAGTCTATTTTGTTAGTTGAATCTATGTATACATAATAATAATATCATATGACTGATCTCTTATACATGTAACATGTAATATATCATGGATCAAAGATTGTATACACAAATAGATATATTGCTTATTTTGCTTCTTCATCATTCATACCATTTGAAGTGTTTTGACTATTGCTTCATCTTCATTTTGTTGTTCTGGAGAAATCTTATCTGTAGAGTGTTGTTTGGATTTGTCACACATGGACACTGCTGGTTTATATTTACCTAAACTTGATAGTTCTTCAACACAATTCACAACGTCTTCCACACGTGCTACAATTTCAGTAAGCAAGGAAACCATGGTGACCACTTGAATAATATCCATTATTGGAATTTCCATTTTTCCATCATCATTATTTTGTGTGTTGGGATAAGATTTTAATAAATTTTGTAGCTCTTGTGCTGCACTGTTCATCTCCATGACCAAAATATCAAGTTTGTTAGAGTTTGTCATATTCCTTATTGTTAGTGCTAACTCTCTCAAAACATTTGCAGAGTTGTCACCAACTTGCATAGAGGTTTTGCTCATAATCTTCCTTATGTCATTTGAGCTCTGCAAAAAATAATTCAACTATTCAATTTTATTAATGTACCTCAAGAATATTTTCTTACTATATAGGCTCTGTTCGGTAAAAATAACTGATAGCTGATGACAATCTTGATATATTACCTTGTTTTCTGAATGTATACATCTGATAAGAGCATCAACGCAAGAAGCACATCGACGCATTGTGGCTCCGATTTTAAGATATTGTTTCCATGGATGACAGAAATTGAATCTTCCATGTGCAGGCTCCCATCTAGCTAAATTGGCCTGAGATTAA